GAAAGAAAGAAAGAAAGAAGGAAGGAAGGAAGGAAGGAAGGAAAGAGAAAGACTATTAATAAAAAAGTAACAACAGGTATGAACATCAAAGGCATTATACTGAGTGAGAGAAGTGTATCTTCAGAGGGTACATACTTTGATTCCATTTATAGGACATTGTAGAAAAGACCAAATGAGAGAGATAACTAACAGATAAGTAGTTGTTAGAGATTAGTGGTAGTGGAAAGGAGAATGTGAGGACTGAGGAATAAAATAAGGGAGGTTATTTGGAAATGTTCTTTTTTTAAATATTTATTTATTTTTGAGAGAGAGAGAGAGAATGAGTGAGCTTGCACCAGTTGGGACAGGCAGAGAGAGAGGGAGAGAGAGAATCCCAAGCAGGCTCAGTGCTGTCAGCACAGAGTCTGATGCAGGACTCAATCTCACCAACACGAGATCACAACCTGAGTCTAGATCAAGAGTTGATCACTTAACTGAGCCAGCCAGGTGCCCCATTTTTTGGAAATGTTCTATATCCTGATTGTGGTGGTGATTACATGAATCTATTAATGCATTTGAATTGATAAAAACATATAGAAATACTGTATGTTATTTAAATAGAATAATTTTTAATTTTGCCTATAATTTTGAGGGTGATAGATAAGTTCATTATCTTAATTGTGGCGATGTTTTTGTGGGAATATTATAGTCTTCAAAATTTATGAAACTGTATGTTTCAAATATGTATGGTTTCTCATATGCCAATTACACCTCAATATAAAAATGAAAAGTTAAAAAAAAAAAGCTTGCCTATGGACATGAGTTAGTGCTAACCAATGATTTTTAAGTAGCACATTTAAAACAAACCAACCAATACCAAACTTCTGCTTTTATCTAAATAGCACAGGAAAAAAACAGAGTTTTTATTTTCATACTCTAGGAAACATTGTGTTTTTCTTTGTTGTGCTTTCCTTGGGCTGAATCTGATAATTTGATTGAAAGTCACAGTCAGGTTTTCAGTCTCTTGACTCCTGGCTGACTCAGTCCCAAAGCTACCATAACCAAATTAGCTAGAAATGGTTCTCCTGTGTGTACATCTTATACTTGAGACATACTTGGCTTGTTTGTTATTAATTAGTTGCTTTTTATGAGCATCTGAATAAGATAAATCTAGGCCAGAGACAGGGGAATAGATTTTACTGGGGATTTGCACAAGTAAAACAAAATTCCTCATTCTTTTATCCATTTTCCAATGATTGCTCAGTAATTGTTTACTTTGCTAAGTGGATAAGTGTTCTCATTCTGAAGATATTTACAAGCTAGTAAATAAAATGAGATGTATGTACAAACACTTGTTATACAAGTCAGAATGTGACACATGCCAACAGAATAAGGCCAATCAATTACTCTGGAGGGGGATATTTTCCATCAATGTGGTCATGGAAAGCATCTCAACAGAGAGAGTATCTAAGTGAGTCTTTGAAGGCTGAACAAATAAACGCATAAAGGAGAAAAAAGAAAATTGTTTAGGAAATTAGTGTTGAAAAACACTGGGAATTAATGCTGGGAAGCATTTGAGATACATTTTGGTAGGCAGTAAATGTCAGCTGTAAGGCCCTTGACTATATTTTGAAGGCAGTGAGGTGTCACAGAAGGAAAAACTCTGAGCTGAGAAGTGACATGAACCAAGTGGGATATAGAAGATCAGGACATGGTAGTGTTTAGAAAACAAAGAATGGAAGAGGGGCTGAAGTCAGTGATGCTAGCTATAAGCCCAGAGAAATACCTGGGTCTAAGGGTAGAGCCCACCAGTAGCTGAACATTGCAAAAGTGTAATCTTAGATGTAATCTCAATGTCTTCACTTACTCATAAACAAATAGTTGTGCCTATGATGTGCCAAGTTTTTCTACTCTCTGAACATATAGTACTGAACTAAGCAGAATTCCTGTCCTTTCTGGAATGTCATTTCTCATAGGGGACAGAGCACATGGGCAGTGGATGAACAAGCAAATGCACTGATACCCTGATGCCAGGTGGCAGTAAGTGCTGTAAAGGAGACCAGAGAGAGGCTGGCAGACAGAGAAAGACCAGAGATGGACAGGGTTGGGAATGGTGGTGGCATAGACTGAGTGATGCAGAAAAAGCCTCTCGGAGAAAGTGACCTTTGGAAGAAACCTGAGTGGAATGATGCATGAGCCCTGTGCATTTCAGGAGAAAGAGTATTCCAGGCATGGAAATAGCAACTACAAGCCGAGATTCTCTGGATTTGGTGGCAAGGGGCATCCTTAGGTCCCTAGGTCCCAGTAGTCCCCGAGGACCCCCTAAGAACTCCCTGGCTCCAAGGAATGCTCAGAGAAAGCACAGCTAGACCACGGTAGTATTAATGAATGGGGAAGGGCAGGGTGGGAAGTCAGTGGGATAAACACGTAAACCCTTCACTCTTGGCAGTGTCTCAGGACGTTCAGATATGAACAAATGAGCTGGATGAGTCAACATATTAGACAGATGTGTGAGGATCCTATAACACATTTGGTCAGACCTAGTTAGTTTCTCAGTTCCTCCATTTCTATAGTTCTACAATAGGAGTAATGATTTACTCTTCTAAAATACTTGTTTTCTATCTTCCATCTGTTCTCTTCTAATGTAAACTTTGTAAAACTCATTCTGACAGACCCTCACCTCAGTCTTGGTTTTGAGAATTATGAAGAATAATTTAAGGAGAAATACTAAAGAAAAACTTCTCAAGATAATTCCTCAGCCTCTTTTACAAGTTACAGTGAAACCTAAAATAAAGTAGCCGTCTAGTAAATGGGAACACTACAGACGGCTCAAAATCACAAGTGTTACTGAGATCCACCATGTTTTACATTTGGCTTTCTAACTTACTCCTTAAAATAATCTTGATGAAATATTTAGTTAGTCTTGGAAATTTAAGGACAGAGGAAATGTAAGGACAAAGGACCTTCAAATAATCGGACAAATCTGGGATAAATTATCCAGCTCTGCACATGTTACTCTTTAAAAGACATACGTGGGGATTCCATGGTCAAGAACACTGAACATGTATTGCCACAAAACTGTACTTCTATAAGGACACTTTCATAGGTACTTAAAGGATATCTTCCCTGCAAAATTAATATTAAGAATAATATACTTGACCTTAGAAGGTATTCCCTTTGTGCAGAAAAACTATCTAAGACTTAGAATTCAGGTAAAAAAGTGATTACAGATCTTATCAATGTCATACCGGAGCATTTTCAAA